TTCGTTTAATATATATATAAATAATGAAAATTTTTAATAAAAAATCGCTCGATTTTTTATTAAAAATTTTTGCCTGCGGCGCTTTTCCCATAAAAACCAATACTTCGATAAATAATGAAAATTTTTAATAAAAAATCGAAATTTGCTATTATTTTGGCTACAATATCTTATTTAGATGAAAGTAAAAAGAAGAAGAAGTGTATAGTGTAAACTGAGTATAATAGCGCAAATGAAATGTGAAATAAAGTGGCAATACCAGCGATTTGAGGTTATAATAATTTTAGCAGGCGCAAAGTTTGTTTACTCTGTTTTATTAACGAAATATATAAAATAAAAGTGAATAAATGATTTGGTTTGCATAAAATAATAACCGGAAACGTTTTAGTAGTGTTTTAAAAGTGGAAACTGGTGATTTAGTGCATTTTTGACGTGGTAATTGCTCATAGAAAACAACGAAATTTAACAAAAGTTTTTTGTTCGTAACTTTTAAATGGTTAATAATATTATCTCGCCCCCTCCGGATTGTTATTAGGGGGGCCGAAACGCGTCGTTTGGTACCCATCCCGACTTTTCCGCACCTTTTTTAGGGGTTGTTACCCCACCCTAGAGAATTACCAAATTTTTTAACATATGTATTTTTGGGTGGAATTCATTTCTGCGTAGGCGGACTTCGGCCGCACTTAGGGATTATAACCCTCAGGCAGTAGAATTCTTCTTTCTGTGTTGCCAAAGGGGCGCTGAACACCTTTTGCAGAGAACACCTTTCTGCGTAGGCGGCCCTCGGCCGCACTTAGGGATTATAACCCTCAGGCAGTAGAATTCTCCTTTCTGTTTTGCGAAGAAAAGGAGCTGAACACCTTTTGCAGAGAACACCTTTGTATATTTTTAATGCTTTCTGGGTTATATCCCATAATGCAATAATACAAGGTGTTATCAGTTGGCAACTTCTCGCTCTAATTCCGCCATATTGACTGCCTTACGTGAAACAGTGTTACTTCTTTAACTATTTTTGCCCATTAATATAGTTTGTTTTTAATTTTTTCTTAGTATACACACTTTGTTTTCTTAAAAAGGTATTTTATCTTATTTTATTTCATTTCATAACGAATATACTATAAAAAAGCAAATTTTGTTTAGGAGAAAATGTGAAATTTTATTTTTTTTACCCATATGGGGATTCATTTCTTCCCGTTTTTCTTCTCATTCTACTGAGCTAAGGCAGTGTCAAATCGAGCTGTCACAACTGATACCACCTTGTATTATTGTATCATGGTTATATCCTATATTCTTTTGTATCTCATTCTTTTGCATATTTTGGAGTTTGACAGCTGAACTCCGCTATTTAATTTGCATATGCAACCAAAGTCAGACGCGTGATTTTGAAGGTGTTTTTATTTAATGAATTGTGATTAATTGGTTAATATTAAAGTCGTAAAGCAAGTAATAACTAATCGAGTAAAGTGTAAAGTGAAGGGGAATACAAAAATGTATTGGTGAAGTGGCTGCTTTAAGGAGAATAGGAGTGATAAATGTACGCTAATTTCCAAATTTTACAAAAAAGGGCATATTTCAAACCCAATTTGTAAATAAATTAGTGACCAATATTTACAAAAGTGAGTGTTAAAATAATGCGTATACCCTTGACTACAAGTGTGTGGAATTTTTTTTTTGATCGGGCCACCCCTTTGGACGGAAATTACAAAAACAAATAACTTAAGGACCTAAAAGTTAAACATTCTAATAATAGAAATATTAACAAAAACCAACAAAACCAACAACCACATGATCAAGTGAATTGCAGCGGAATAGTTGCGCTTGATTGTAGTTGGCTTAGCAAAGTGAAATAGTGGAAAATAAGCAACAAGAATTAGCAAGGCAAACTTAGCACAGTGTGTAGGTATAAAAAGGCAATAACATGACCATCGAAAAAGAAAATAAAACTAAGAATGACGGCGTCTTGCGCTTATTTGCAAATAGTACCACTAATCAATACTTATTTGCGTGATTGATTTATTTGCAAATAAAAAATTAACTCAACGTTTATACGGAAAAGTTTACCATTTTGCAAATTGTTATTTGCAAATAATACGTGCGTATAAACGTAGTATATATTTACTTAAGTGAATAAATTTTTTACATCAAAGATTTGAATAATATATTTTCTGGGAAGCAGAAAAAGTGGAAGGTATTTTATGTACAGATATGTAAACAAAACTACTAAGTAGCTAATTTTTTCTATCGGATCCCGAATATTTCTTTTTCGCTTTTCTCTTACCAAAAGAGTTTTAATATGTACTTTTTTGTATAAAAACAAAAGCTTATCTAAATTTGTAGTATTAGCAACGGGCTTTTTCGTGCTTTTATGAAATTTTACTGAACGCCCATGCACGCACGAGTTCGTGCTGACAGAAAATATTCCGGCCCGTACCCGTGGGCGGGCCCCTGCCACAAGCCCGGCCCGTGCTCATCTCTAGTCCTGACCTAATTCGTAGTTTAGAAAAATATATAGACAAACAAAATAATGTGCTTCTTCCATATCAATCAATCTGTGGAGAAAAATAAATATGTGTAAGTTTTAAGTTAATGCTTACAATGGTAGATGGTGGCGTTATCAATGTTTTAAGTAGTAACACTAGTGGTGCAGTGTGCTATTTATGTGGAGCAGGGCCGACGGAGATGAAGATCTGTCAATGAAGAACACCTCCAATATGGCCTTTCGACTTTGCATGCACATATCAAATTTTTTGAATGTTTGCTCCATATTTCTTATAGGCTTCCTTTAAAATGTTGTAGGGTCAGTGGAGAGAAAAATAACAATGTTTTTAATGGAAATAAAAAGAGAATTCATCAAGAATTTATAACAGAAACAGGCTTAGTAGTTGATGCTGTAAAAACTGGGTATGGTACAACGAATGACGGAAACACGGCGAGGAGATTTTTTGAAAATTGTGAAATTTCGGCAAAAATTACAAAAATTGATATTAATCTTATCAGAAATTTCGACAAAATTTTACGTATAATATCTTGAGGAAAACGTAAATTTAAGTAAATTTCAGGAACTTTTAAATGAAACAGTTCAGATATATTTAAATTTGTGTTCATGGCATTACATGCCCAGTACAGTTCACAAAATTTTAATACATGGATGCCAAGTCATAAACAGCTTCCAAGTACGGGTTGGGCTTTTATCGGCAGAAGCTATTGAAACTAAACACAAGGAGATTCGGAAATTACGTCTTAATAGGTGCGTTCGACAAGTCAAAAATTTGTAATAGTTTTTCCAAATTTTTACTGGATGGCGTTCGATAACGACTAAAAATTATCCGACACACAAAAATTGAGAGAGCAAGCGTTCATTTTGATGCAAGTGTCGTTGCACAACACTGATCGCTAGAGTGCAACCCTGTCGTAGGCAGTGGTTTTTCGATTTCGAAGGATGGTAAGGAGAAGACGAAATCGACAAACATCCATACATATAAAATACCGTTCAACGTTTTGCGGAAAATTACTTCCAATTTGACGAGCAATCAGCGAGTGCAAAAGGCACCAATTTGAAACAAAAAACCGAAAAGTACACGTACATACATTTAAATTCGCGTTGTAATAATGTAAA